TTTATCTTTATTAATAAGTCACATTTTGGATAAAACATTCACTGATATTTGTTGCAGCAATCTTGGCATCAAAACTGGACATGCTGCCACTACTCCTAAGTCATCTGGACTTTCTTCATCTTCCAGTGCAGACTTAGATGAATCAAATCTGGGAAATTCATCACCCTCATCACTTTCACGTAGATGGGTATCTCTGGATGACTTAGAAAATGAAGAAAACAATCCCGACACAGCGCAAGTATTTGAGGAAGAAGAGAACCCATCAGACATTTCTCTAAAGGAGGGAAACGCCAGTGATAAAAAGAGTGAGAAGTCTTCGACCCGATCTGGTGCCCGCTCTGGTGTTAAACAGTCATCTAGTTCAGGTTGGTCCTCATTCTTTGACAAAAATTTTCAAACAAAGATACAAAAATGTGTTGTGTGGACTTTTGTAGCTTAGAATTAATTGATTTTTTTACTTGCATTTGTTCTGTAGTGTCTGATGAAGGATTCCTCAACAACCACAAGCCATCTAGTGGAACTGCTGGTACTAAGAGTGGAAGCACCATTGGGACTAATTCAACCAAAAGACCTATTCACATTAACAACAATCTTGGCACTAACCATGGTTCACATTGGGCTGGTCAGCAAACAGCAAGCCAATCAAGTAATTCTAGCAAGGGGGACAAACCAGTGAGATCAAGCAAAAGTGGTCGTACAGGCTCTGATGAAAGGAAAGGTAGTGTAAATTTTGTTTTTTTTTCTTGCTTTTACATTGTTCAAAGTTTTTTTTTCCCCCTATCTGCCTGACCAAATTACATCTCATTTCTTGTCTAGGGGCTAAAAATGATGGGAAAACCTCTTCTGGAGGGAGTAGCAGTAGTGGAATGTCAGGTCGTTCTGGGCGTGGTTCCATGAGCAGTATGGCTGATAAAGCTGCTGTTCTTCAAGGCAAGAGAAATCAGCGTGGCTCACGAAGAAAGGATGGGGTAGCAGCTGCCAGTACGTTTCCATTTTCAGTTAATTTTAGGGTAGACTTTTTTTTCTGACTATTGCTAATAGTGATTTCTTTTGAATTGCAGCTTTGGTATTTAGGAAGTATGGTCAACTAGCTCTGACTGCAATCATATGGTTTTTCCATCTCTTGTCTGATGTTGTCGGAATGAGCTTGCGTCTTTCATTACACCTGTAAGTTTTGTGCTTTTATTTTGCTGCCTGATTTGTCACTGTATCATGTTTGAAAAGTGTTAAAATTGTGTACTTCACTTTTACTTCTCAGGTGTTTGGTATTCTGGGAGAATTGGGTGATTAGCACAGCTACCTGGCTACAGAATTGCTTCTGGCGCATTCCCCAATTACTTCCAGAACGTATTCTTCATTCCCGTGTCTGGCGATTCATCTGCAAATGCTTCGGGAAAAGTGACCCTGGCGAGCAATCTCGTAATAGCTCCAAAAAAAGTGGGCGTGGTGTTGAAGGCAGAGATAGTGTAATTCCAGGTGGCCTTTCTCACAACATATCTATGCCTTCAACTGGGGAAGAGGCCATGAAAAGACTTCTTGCGTGTAAGGGGAAGGATCCGTACAGGTTAGCCATTTTTTTCATTTCAGAAATTTGAGCATGAGAAGTTCTGTTACTGTGTGCTTCAGTTTTTAACCCAATCTCTTTTTTGTATCTAGCATTTTAGGGGTTACACCCACATGTTCTGATGACGATGTTAAGAAATACTACAAGCGACAAGCCTTTCTTGTCCATCCTGACAAGAACAACCAGCCAGGGGCAGAAGAGGCTTTTAAAATACTAGTTCATGCTTTTGAACTGATTGGAGAACCAGTAAGGTTTTTTTTTTTTTTTTTTTTTTTTTTTTTTAATTTTATGAAATGATTGGTGTTGACCTCATCAGTGTCTTATTTGTGCTTTATTTACATTATTTTAGGAGAAAAGAGCTGAATATGACCGTTATGTAGCAGAAACTCAACAAGTGGAACAAGCCTGGAGTGAACTTAGCGATTTGCTTTCTCAGTTACACCAGAAAATGGAGTATGCTGCAAACACTATCAGGTACCAACTCAATTGAGTTATCTTAATTAATTTTCATATGCATATGCATTATGAATAATTTTTTATCTGGTCATACAAATTAACTCACATATTTAATTGAATTTACTATCTAGGTGCACAAACTGTGGGAAAAGACATAAACGAATAGCTGTGCCTCGCAAACCCTTTGCTGCAAGATTCTGTGCACAATGCAAGATAAAACATTCAGCCAAGGAGGTATGTTAATCCTATTTCCTAAGAATTGGAGAAAGAAAACCAAAGCAAACAATCTGCGTTTGAAATTGCATCATCATGACAATATTAATTTTATGAATAAAATATAGATAATGATTGATTGGCCTTTTTGCATCCAATGCACAAGGTTTGATGGAAAAATTGGTGTAATTTTTATGTCTATCAATCTTTCAGGGCGACATATGGGCAGAAACAATGGTGATGGGTTTCCTATGGCACTATTATGCTTGTATGGAGGGTGCAGTATATGATATCACTGACTGGGCGTCTTGTCAGACAAATAATCTTCGCCACCTTAAACCCAACTCTCATACTGTCCAGTATCGCATTGTTCTCGGCCGTCAGCGTCAACAAAATCCTCGAACCCCCAGGTAATAGCAGTTATCATACTATTTTCTCATTGGATTTAACATTTTTACTCTAGTCCAGCTTTAATTGTTTATTAATCTATCCGAAACGTCTGTGTACTTACAGTGAGCCAGATTTAGAAAATTTTCTCAGTTCTCTATACAATCAAGCTGGTGGAGCAAGCAAAGGAGCCCCTGGCCCTAGCGAGAGTTCTGCAAGCTCTAATGTTCCTAGCCGCCAAGAAACAGCTCGTAATCGTAATAAAAAAGGGAAGCGCAACAAGTAAATTTCACCTTTATTGATATTGATGACTCCTGAAACAATGATTAAATTTGTGATGCTAATATCTACTATTAATCTTGATATTTAAGTGAAGTGTGAGTGAGCAGGGTCACTTAACTTAATTGCAAGTGTGAAGTTAACTTCAGAGGTTTCACAGGTATGTGTTTTGTTCTGAAAACAAAAAAATCTAAGTGTACATGCATTCACAGTAATTTCCTTTAGATGCTGTAGTTCTGGTAGTATGTTGAATACGGTGAGGTAATATACAATACCCGCAATCTGAGGAGGCACTTTACCTTTCTCATTTTTAAAAAAGTGTTAAGGTCTTCACAGAATATTTATTTTTAAATATATTTTCTTCAATTCAAATGACAATGAGTACAACACGTACAACAAGCTTTGCTGTGCTTCAATTATCCTATCTTAAGGTTCTATAGATTCAGCACAGTCCTGAGATAACTGAAATCAAGAATTTAATTTTGGGAGGCTTATCATTATACTGAAAACTCAGTAGCACTGTATTTTTGATACCATTCTTTGGAACCTCTTTTTCTCTTCAACTCATTGTAACCTATTGTATATTTAAAAGCAGATAAGCATAAACAGAACCACCCATCTGAATGAAGCTGGTATAAAATATGGCTAATGCCTGAGGCCTTCCTATTTTTGCCCTTTTTTAGATAGAAGGGTTTTGTCTGTTGTTTAAAAGTAAATGATCATTTATCGAAACTCACCCATTTCAATAAATCCCAATGGAGGAAAATGCTACCTTGCAATTGTACTCTAGTTCTGTGTACCTACCGCATCTTCCCTTTTGCTTTCAAATTGATTAAAAAAAAAAAAAAATTGGGGTGTACTAACCAGACCTTATTTTTTACTCCTGGTGTTGAAACTTTATGTCCTAATTAAAATTTCATTCTATCTAAGCTTGTGGTTATTTTAGGTAAAGTAAGTTTTTGATTTGAAAACGTACTAGGTGCTTCAAGGCATTTCTGGAATTAAGTTAAATGACCTGGTGTGACGTAGTGTATTAGTAAGTAACCTTTGTTTGTTTTTTAAGAGAAACATCAATCTTATGTAAAAGCATTTGTAAAGACTTAGTTAAGTTAATGTGATTGTATTGAAAAAGACACATATGTTACTACTGACTGCAGTTTTAGGGAATCCTCACTAGTTCCCCTTGCTATCCCTATTGGTTCCTTCTTTGTATAATTGTCATTGTAGTCTTGCCCAGTTCTACAATAAGCAGTGTTCAGTTTCTTTACATCTGGTTTAAAAAAAGAAAACTTATGACAACTGATCTTGCCTCATCAAACTGATAGTTTTTATTTTTGCCTAATTCTATTATTTAAACTTACTCTTCAATTGATCACCCACAAGCTCTATTTTCTGTTTGACTAGTTTCTTAATGGCTGGAAAACTTCACAATATTGATTGTCACGACAAAATGGTATTCAAGAAATAAAGAAATTTAGTCATTTCTGACATGAGTTTTACCATTTTACTGAGCCCCTTCACTTTTTACTCTATTTGAACCCCATCCCAAAACAGTGCAAATGACAGAAAACTCTCTACACCTTCTCTGTTAATCTAAATTTACGCCTCTATTTCCACCTAAACCTAAATCTACAGATATTGTCCAAAAAAGGGGTTTCATTTTAAATCAAAAACACCAAAATGAACATTAAAATTTTATACTTTAAATATACATAATATGTAGACGGTTGTACCAGGCGCATAGAATAATAATATATGTAGTATTACACATCTATCGCCCCTTCCAGAAACAGTAGGGAATCGGATGATGATATGGCAGCATCGATATCTTTCCGTTGGACCGTTTTCTTTTTCGACTGGGCTGTGTGAGTGTAACTTTCCCTTGCAAGCGACTCAATGAACAGTTCCTGAAACATTAAAATTATTAGACTAAATTTCATCCTGATTCTATGGCAGTAAAACCAAGGACAACAAAGAGTCACTAAAACAAGAATGCTGACATCTCTTGAAAAAGCAAATTTAAAAAGTTCAAACCAGACTTCAAAAACGTTGACTACACGTCTGTTCAGCAAGAAAAGAGCTAAGATATAAGAGGAAAGCGGAATAGAAACACGAAGAGCTTACCGTTGCTTTCGCAATTAGGAAAACTGCCTCTTGACTTGCTAAATTGACGTCTGGGTCCATCTTGATGATACTTTTAATGCGTGACAGTGGTAATTTCACCAATTTTTCAGCCTTTTCTTCTTCAACATTTCGTTCATCGTGGTTTTCCTTTTCTTCTGACATCATACAAGGGAGTTTAAAAAAGCAAATTACTTTTGCAAGGTTCGGCGTGAAAGCGCCAAAAGACAAACAGGTAAATATCGTGGAAGTGTGAATAACACAAGTCACTGCAAATACCAGCAGATACTTCTTCATATAGTGGGGGAGACCTGTGCCGAGACTAGTCAGTCAGTTAAATTGAAATGAAAATATTTCGTGCCGTCAACTTTCAAAACAAAACAAATAAATCCTAACCTCTGATCCTCGAGGAGGTGGAATAATAATTGAGTTGGGTTTTGCTTCCCACATATCTTCGAAATGTCTGAAGTCATAGCAAAAACGTTGAGTGAAAAGCAACAACGACAGTCTCTATCGGGTCCGAAAAAAGGAACAAATAAAACGGTCCGCAACGTCTTGGCTAAACCTTATGTTGGATTTTGGTAAGGGCTATCTATAACTCTTCAGAATATGTACTTTAAATTTACCTCATGTATATTTTTATATTATTGAAATATTTCTCCTAGGCCCTTGGTTGATTCTCAATCAGAATCAGAGATGATTGGTGTTTTAGAATCGTATGTCCCTTTTGTTTTTTCAATCCATGGTAATTTTGTATCCAAGCGTGACCAATATTTTACCACCATGACTATTTAATTTGTAGATTTCTTCCTGCTGCCTGTAAAGTAGTGTCCGCAGATGACCGTAAACTTTTACGAGGTATGCAGGGTAAAAAAATGAAAGAGTCGAGAGATAAGCTAACTCAAGAGATTTGGAAAAGAAATCCAGGTTCACGAGAGCTAAGGTACTTCCCAACTTCTAGCAAAACATTGATTTAGTCTTTGGTCTTTTATTTTCCCTTGTAATTTATGTTTTTGTTTTTGTTTTTTTTTTCAGAAACTATTTGGCCTTAGGAGTAAACGATGTATCTCGTGGTTTGGAAGAAAATACACTGGCATCTATACTAATTTCTAATGAAGCAGACCCACCAATTCTTACCAGGCATCTTGTAACTCTTGCTGCTACTAGAAATGTACCTCACCTTGTGCTTCAAAATTTGAAGGCAACCACAAAAAAATGCTTGGATTTTTCAACACTTGCCTTAGGTTTCAAGGTGAGTTAGCTAATTACTATGGAAGAAATACTACTCTCATGAGGTACTCAGTCAATGTTATATTGGATAAAATTTCAGAAAACTGTTGCTGATGAAGTAAAGAATCATTTTCATCCTGCTCATCTGAAAATAGAATCAGCTTTCAGGATGCTTGCAAGGTCTTCAATAGTTGATGCAGTGCCTGATAACTGCAATTTTGTTCAGGAGAAAAATCCATCCAAAACCAAGCAAAGCACTCCAGCGAAAAAGCCCTATGAAATTTACCTCACTCGCAGCTCTAAAAAGTATCGTGCTTTTATTCCAGAAAAGGGCTTACAAAAAGAAAGTAATAGTGCATGGTCACCATATATTTCCCTTTCCACCCATTCTGAAAGTGCCCCAGTGGGTAGGGTTACTAAAGAAATTTTGGGCTCTACAACTCTTAGTGAAACACGCTCTTTTCTTCAAAAGGTTAGATGTGCTAAAGAACAAAGTGCTCAGGCAATGGACTGTGGCTCCTATGTATCTTTAGATCCTGAAATTGCAGTTAAAGGAGAGGAAGCTGATGTAAAAGTTTTAGAACCAGTGTCACAAGGTAAAACTGTTAAAAGGTATTTTACTTCTCTTGCCCCACTGAAAATAAAGCGGATCCAGGGAAATCCCATGAAACCGAAAAAGAAACAGAAAGGGAAGTAAGATAATTTGCAAGTCACTGCTATATCCATCATGTTATGTTTTCTTGAAAGCTTTTAAGGCTGTTTGGTATGCTCTTTGTCTCACTTGTAAATGAGGCCACATATGAAAGAAGAAAGTAGTCAGCAACCTTGGAATAGAAACCCATTAATGGTGACTGTAAAATACAGCAATGCTATGGATCAATCAAACTGTAATAGTGAGAATATAAGAATTGTAAAAGATACCAGATGTTTGGAACTATGACATTTGTCCCGAATACCAACACAATCAATTCTGATAGAGACGGCTCCGATCGTCCGAAGCTCGTTTGTCCGAACCTAATTTATCTATTTTAGTAAATAAAATGAGTATAGTAGTTAATTACATTATGTTATTTCATTTAATGACAGTTGCTGAAATAAGAGCTAAATCAGGTACAGATACCATCAGGAGGGCAAACGAAGCGGCTAACTGCAATTCCGGGCCTGGAAAAGGGTAAACGAAAAAACTGACGCTATTTCACTAACATAAGTAAATAATCTTATTTTTGAACAAGTCTTGGTTCGCGCCACGCCGTGGATCGGCTGTAGTGTGCCACGGCTCTCGGATCTGCGATGGGTGGGTCACTCTCCTACTCCTAAGTGCCGGGCGGGGGGGAATTGCCAAGTTCAGCTGTCTCATAGCGCCTTATAGGTAGGCAACATCTTGCTTGTAGAGCTTGCGTGTATTGCGGGATGGCCTACCCGGAGTCTCGCAGGCGCCGAGCCTCCCTAATTTCTCGGCAAAAAGACAAAAGTCCGCTCGGCACCGTAAATGCTATGCAACCTCTTTGGTTTTCTCGCACGCTGAGTCCAAATCTGGTAGTGCCGATGTCGTCCGGGCCCCCGGGGACGTCATTGGGGACCTCAGCACGCCGATGACACTCCCACGAAATACGATTCGGCTCCAAACGTCGTGTGTGTATCCCGGCTGGTGCATATTTCTTAAAAGTCACCAAATATAATTATTATTAATAGCAAATCGCCCATAGTAGTTTATTATCCAGATCATTTCATTATTGTCACATGGCACTTCCCTGGCGTTGCCGCCTGGAGCCACACAACAATGCACGGGACGGGAAGCATCCCCAAAGGATCACATCCTGGACAAGCGAGGCGGGATTGCCTCCCCCAGGAAAGAATCACATCCCGCGACCACGATATGTCGGTGAGTATGCCGTAATTATTGCTCTCCCCCTTTGCCGTGCCGCGTCCCCTATCCCTCTCCTCCTCCCCATCCCCACCGCGCATTTCCCGCGCCTTTATGGAAACGTAAACAAACAGTGAGAAAGGAAAATCGGTCACGATCGGCGTTTCTGCCAAATACCGATAATACCTACTCATATGATTATTGATCAGAGGATTTTAACCAGAATTTTAGAGTGGACATCACCGCTTTTCGTTATTAATCGCAAGGTATAGTGCTTACTTGTTTCCAGTCCGGAATATTGAATTTTTCCATTCCGGTTATTGTTGTAGGAGGTTATGCTCCTGTGGCTCAATTTTTTACACGCACAATTAAGTTGTAAGTTATTTTTTGAGGCCGAGTAAATGGTGCCCGTGATGTAAATAACTTGGCTCCTGTCAGCTTTGTTGAAAAGGTGTTGAAAGGGTACACTCCTCCAATCCATGCAGTATATGTTTGTTGTAGGTCCTTATGCAAATGGGTGAACTGCCAGTGTTTTATCACATATCATATATTTTACTCTATATTATTCTCGTGGAACAGAAAACTTTATTTCTTTCTGATTGGGGTGCAAACCGAGTGGTACTATTTGCGTAATCCCCCAAACAATCTATCAATGTGCGTTGCAGATAATTTGCAGCTGCCCCTTGGTACTTAATGTTTAATCCAGTACCAAAATTTTGAAAGACCATAGTCATTTAGAGACGCATGGGGAGAGAGGCATTTAAAAGTGTATTGTATGAGTTAATTATATGTAATTAAAAGTTGATGAGCGCTAAAAGTACCGTTTAATATGATTGCAGGAACCCGGCCCAGAAATGTTCTTGACATGAGCAAGAGAAGTCTATGGAGTCATTTTACCCAAAAGAATAGGTGAGTTGACATGACAGTAACGGCAACGGCCAACGCTGGTCCAATTTGTCTCTGTACAGACACTATGAGGAGCTTCCTTTCATGTGCATCAAAGGGTGGTTTTTGATGATTTTTGTGGTGCCTTGGTTTTTTGTTGTCGATTTCAATCATCCTCTGTCAAAATCCAGGCTGATTTGTTATCACTGAAAATGTCTTTAAAAATCATGGCAATTTGAAAAATTGCTGGAATTGGTTTGGATTGGGGCAGACTCCCTTTTCACATGCTCTGTCTAAATATCATGGGGCCAACCCACTACAGCAGAGTTCTTAGCCAGTGCGCCTTAGGTAGCCTACCCGCCCTTAGTTAGAGAGACCAGC